GCGGGGGCGGGGGTAGCGTGAGATCCTTCCGGGGTCGGTTGGCGCTCGCACCACCCACGTGGCGCGGAGCTGTCGAGCCACCGATCCTTTTCATCCTAAACGAGCGATTCAAACGCTGGACGTAAGGTAAATCCCCGGGCATAGTCACGGAGAAGTCGTATATATTTCGCCTGTACCACATGCTCGAGCAGTCCGAGGCCTCCTTGCCCCCTCTTGTGCACCGTGTGTGGTCCTTTTATATAATTTGTTCCCGGCCTCCTTCTTCCTCCTCTTTCTTCTTCTTTGTATTCCTCTTCTTCCTCTTCTTCTTCTTCTTCTTCTTCTTCTTCGTCTTCGTCCTCTTTGAGTCTCCTTGGTCTTTGGTCAGTGGACTGCGTCCGTTCTTCTTCGCGGATTATACGTTACGCCACTTCTAGGAATACTTTCAGTGTTGAAAAGTTGTCTGGAGTAGATATTTCGTATTATTTCTTTATTGGAATTTTTAAAATTGAATTTTGGGTTTAAAATTTTATGTTCCATGATTTGAGTGAAATAATAATATTTGTATGTATAAAATGGAAAAGTTATGATATTTGTATTAAATAATTTGAAATATTAAAATATTTAGTGAAAAATGTCGTATTAAAATTTTCGATATTTGAGTTGATTTTTTTAGCATTAATTCTTAAAATAATATCGATACATCGAATTAAAAATATAAAAATATTAAATGAATATCGAACATATTATTCGATATTTATTCAATACTTTAACTTTCATTTTTAAATATTGTAATTAAAATCAAATATTGGCTCGACAAAATAAAGAAATAAATATAATTAAAGAAAGTGAGATGAATGGAATCAGTATTTAATCTTGGTTGTAACGTTTAGAAATGAAAGCTAAGATAAAGTATAACAGTAATAAGTAAAATAGATCGAATTTTTTTTTAAACTATTAAATGATTTTCGATTTGATATAATATTCATTTAATATCGATATTGGATCAAAATCAGTTATCCTTCCAATTTTTAGAAATTGGAACTACAATTTCTAAGACAGTGAAGTGTACTTAAAAAAAAAAGTAATGAAATTGATCTCGATTCTAAAATCAATTGAGATAATATGATAAATTTGATCAACAAATCTATATAAGAGTACTATGCGTTGCAAGAATAAAAAAACATTTATTAAATTTGATTAAATATTCTTCCAATTTAAATCTAATTTAAAATGAGCATAAAACTTGTAACTAATTAAAAGTTTTAATGAAAACCTTGGTTTCAAACAGCTTCTTAAAAGAAACTATTTTGAAAAAAATAATAAAAAATATTTTTCATAAAAAGAAAAAAAGTTATTTATGCTAATAGTGTGTCTTTAGAAACTTAAAATACATTAAAGATCGCGAAACCAATTTCAATCAATCGAAGTTATCCAACGTTCCCCAACAATCATCTGCAAATTACCTCGAGTTTCTCGAGTTTGCACAATTCTCCGAACTGTTTCCGACTTTAAATTTAAATTGTTCCTAAATTGCGGACATTGAAGGGAGGATTACGTCTGCTTTAATACACGCCGCGAAATTTATATCGGTTGGCTGATAAATCATCCACAAGTACACAATGAGATCGTCGATCGATCCTTAAACATTGCGTTCACCGATCGACAAGCGGCGAAGAATAACCGAGTACGCAACCGTCTGAAGAGCACTTTGCCGTGCCATTATTTCCCTCGTTATCTCGTTTCATACGACGAAACGGTTCGAGGACGATCGATGCCGCAATGTTTCTCCTTCAAACCCCTCGAACGAAGAAAATTATCTTTGACGATAAATAAAATGTTTTGTATAGTTCATCACAATTGCCAAATCATGTACATGTAATAATACTTATGAAATACAAGAATAAACTTTAATTTGTTTTATTCTTCTCGAACCTATAAAAAGTTGCTATGAAGAACGATCAATTTTAATTCTTTTCTCAACTGATATGATTTATGTTTGAAATTAAGTTAGAGAGACAATAGATTGAGTAAGTTGGCGAATGTTCTTTTATAATTTTTTTTTTGTTATATATCATTTTTGTAAATGAATTGGTAATAATAGTTAGTGAAAAATAGATATTGAAAAAAAGTTAAAAGAAAATTTCGTTTATAATATTTCAATAAATTAGTGAATAAAAGTAATTAAATAAATATTAAATGTTGTATTACATGGAAAGTAAATTTTGATATTATATTCATTGTAATTGACTAAAATGATTATTATTAATGATTATTATAATCAATATGATAAATACATATCTTTCTTAATTACATTACATAATACAAACAAAACTCTTTATCAATCGTTTCTTATCTCAAAGATTTAATGACAGAGTAGAAACAGATTCTGGAACAAATATTCCGACTCCATGTTTACACCAATACATTCGAATCGTCACTTTATCTCATTCCTCATTTCGATCCTTTTTTTGTCGTCAAACAATTCATTTGTATACATAATAGATTCAGCCAATAATGATAACTAATCTGATTTATAGTCTCTGTATTATAAAACTTGCATTAGAAGAGTAATAACATCGATTAAATCGGCAATAATTATAATCAAACATAATAGAATAATCTAACCTCTCGCGTTCACGTCGAATCAACGAACTCGTCTTCGCAGGCCCATTACATCCTTTTTCGTCTGGCTCGCCTGTAAAAACCATAGCCGTGAAACAGACTCACGACCAGTTTGTAATAGCCTGTAATTGTAGGTGTTCCCCTGTGGGAACTCGCGTGTGCAACGCGAGATACTTTTAACCGCCATTAAACGCTTAAACGTTCAAGCTTACCGAGAGAGCGGTTCGGATTAACGAAATGGTAGATGGCGCTTCGATCGCCGGCTACCAAAGCAACGGCCGGCCGTTTCTTCTTCGTGGAGAATAAACGACGCGACGTCATCGTTGATAATCGATACTCTTCGAGATAGAGTGCCATAAATCACGCCCGTGTAAAAGTCTTCGAAACGGTCCCATGAGATTTTTTCTTTCGGTCGCTGGCTCATAAGAGGCCTAGAAAGGATCGTAAATCTCCCCGTTATTCTGGAAGCTTTAAAAGTTCGGGAGAGGTTGTCGCGAAGTTATCGATCGTGTTTTGAATTTTTCTTCGATTTATATATATTCTCGAGGAAGATATCGTTTTATTCATCTTTCGGTGAAATATGTGTTAATTTCAATTTATTCTGAATAGTTTTCATATAAAATTTAAGGTTTGTTGATTTTTTTAATATCCAAAAGACCTGTATGTTAAATTTGCAAACAAGAAATAATTCCAAAAAATAGATAGTACAATATTACTAATATAATCAAGTATATCTTGTTTTCCAATTCGCACAAGGAACGTTATTTATTCTCTTGCGCAACGAACGAATTGCTTTCTATTCCACGAGTATTCATTTCGAATCATAAAATGATGACAAAGAAACACGCCGATCCCGTGGACGCGTGCAAGCGATGATCCTGTGACCGGTGGTTATCCGCGGATTTATCCAAGCCATTTTACCAGTCGATTCGAATAAGCAGCGATCGTCTAACGATCGGCGGCACTATTCCTCGTCGTACCATTCAATTTTCCAACGAGGGAAAGAAGGGCGAGAGATTGAGCAGTTCCCACGCGACCGATTCTCGACGCTTGCCTCTCACTGCTCCTCTCCGGCGAAGTGAAAGATTTCAATCCGCGAGAATCGATGCTGGAGGGTAGTTTTAGGTGTTGGAAGCCACTATTTGGTGGTTGCATAGGGTATTTTACTCGGTAACTCGGCTGAGATTGGGATTTAATCGGTGTGAATATTCGGTTGATCGTGGAATATCGAATGAAATATTTTAGAATGTTACAGGATATTGATTTTTAGAGAGTAAATTCTAGAGATGGAAAAAGTAGGTTAAGTGTTTATTTATTAAGTTATTAGCAATTTATGTTGGATAAAAGGAGAGGAAAAGAGAGCGAGACCTTTCTGTCTCTGTTGCATTGCTTAATAAATAAGCATTGACCGATATTTTTGTACAACTTTTGTGTTTGTTTTAACCTCTGGGATCGATTTTCTAATTGGAAGTGAAGAATCCATATGAAAGAGTGTAATAACACTTTATTTTTGAAGTAGTGTTGACATTAAATTTCTCCTTGCATAACTATAAGAAAGAACAAAAGATAATCAGATTATTATTTTTACTTTTAATAAACATCTTTTAATGACATTTTCTTAATAATATTTTAATAGATGTCGCCATTATTATCTTCTGTTCGCAAATATATTTATCTGTCTTTGAATAATATTTGTGTATATTGTTATTGAAACTATATATATATATGTACATAAAAATAATTTAATATTTTAGAATGTGAATGATTTGTGATTATGACATATGGTAGATTGAATGAAATATATTTTAAAATGAATATGATGTTATAATAAACACAGAATTATCTATTATATTTTATAATAATATTTGCGTGTATTTTAAGTTTATTATATTGTTTGCTTTTTTATTTCAAATGTTCAAGAATTAAATCGATATTGTTGATGCACACGTGTTTTGTATTACGTTTGGGAATAAATCTTTTAATAGAAAAAAATACGTGATTAGTTAAAATTTTCAATTCGAAAAAATGATGAATAAATTTAAATCTTGATAGAAAATTCTATAATATAAAATATAATGACAAGGATTTATAATAATTAAATTTTGTAATACATTTTCATTTATTTTCTCTCTATTAATCTCGATATTAAGAAAGAAATTCATTTACACCGCTTTTTTAAACATTAATTCTTACAAATCTACAAGTAAAAAACGAAATTTCCAAGTTTTATACTTAAGAATGAATAAAAAAAATCTTCTTTTCCCCAGATTTCAAATCTCGTTGAGTAATTTATTTATTTCTCAAAAAGTAAGTTTTTTTGAGTTAAACTCGTTTCCAATCGTCGTCGGCCATTACACATACGAAGAGACGCGTGCAAATGAACCAATTACCGTGTCTACCGCCAACAGACTTATAAATTTAAAACAGTAATTACTGCGGTTGCCACCGCGTTGCTGTTATCAATGGGAAGTGATCTTGGCGCGGCGAGAAAACGATGGAGGCTCAAAGGAAGGCAGATAAACGTGTCAAAATGAAAGCTTCGACACCGGAAATTGAATGGAGTCCACGTCCTGATATTGTCGAAGATCCTGATGTGACTTGGCTATTGAGGAAAACCAGACAGCATACACGAAGACGTATATATATATATTAAATGTGTTTCAGATTGCATGAATTTGTTCTTTCATGAATTTATGTATATAATATTAGTATATTAATGGTTGTAATGATATGTAGCTATTTTTATATATTTTATATATTTTGTGAATACAGGGTAATTCAAGTTTTTTCGTATAATCTTTGCCAACAAGTTCTATAAATAAATATAAAAGATAAGAATAAAAGTGTTATTGTATGCGATAAAAATAAATGCTTCGTTAAGGAAAATATGCTAAAAAGGAAAAAAAGGTAGAAAACACGATAATATTTTTCTCACAATCAGTACAGGTCAAGATAAGATGTGATTATGTTATTTTTATAAAATAAATCAATTATAATTACAATGATAACGACATTTTGAAATGGAAAAATTTCCAGATATTTTTGATAAAGATATCTTAATGAAACATTTTTACTATATAACATTATATTTTTACCTGTAGAATTTAATAACAAAATATGGAAGAATTTTGGGTAACTTGCATATTAAATAAAATTGAATAGCATGCATAAAATAACAAGTATTTTCAAGAGAGTCATATCTGTATTTCATTCATTCTTGCACAAAATATGTACACAATTTGTTACACTAATTATTATTGTTTGATATATTAATAATTGTATATTGAAAAAATGTGAAATTTATTAAAATTTTAAGATTTATATAATTATCATAGTAATGGACAGATTATAAGAATCAACATGAAATAGATAAAAAGATAAAGTGATATAGTATTCATCTTTTTTAGATAGATTTGTTTAAATAAGATTTTTAGGCCAACTTAAAAAGTAAAAATTGGAGTGGCAAAGTATTTGAAATCTATTTTTATCAAAAAATTATTGATAATCTTTATCAATACCTTCACTTTACTGAAATAATCAAATAGTTTGAAACTAAAATATAATGCATAATAAAAAATTATACTTATTATTTTACAATGTAATAAATTTTTCATAAAATTTTGATGCAAGATTTCAATAACTTATTATGAGTACAAAAAATAAATACAAAATGATTATCAAGTAAATAAAATTCTAAAATATCTCCATATTACAAGATATATCATGCAAAATTTTCTTTCTAAACCTGATTTAATCTAAATCTATGTGAATAATAATATTTGGTAAATGAAATATGTTCAATTTTTTAATAATGTATGATTAAATTTTTCGATCAATAGAACAGAAACTATTGAAATAGAAACAGAGAAATTATAAAACTCTTCAAAGGTAATCTTGTCACAATTTATAATATCTTTCATTGAAATTTTCTATTGGGATACTCTGCTACAACGAAGATAATTGCATCTAAGATAAACAACATTCCGTGTTTCTTATCAACATTTCGAAAAGTAATAAGCTAAAATTTTATACGTGAAATTCACTTTCCCTTCCATTGTTCATATCGATTGGCTGTTGAAACTATTCAGAATATACAATCTAATTTCTTAAGCGTATACGTCATGACACGATGGCACATTTAATTTATTCATAATTTAAAATAAAATAAAAGAATATTACGCGTTAGAAATTGACAAGAGTATATTTTTCTTGCTGTACACCGTGTTAAGCGTGCACGTGCGCATGCGGTTGAATTATCATGTGGTCGTTTTGAGAGTTGCCTGCTGCATGGTTTTCTAACACGACAATGAAAGCGATTTTCGCGCGGAAACTATCGCCAGAGCGAAGCTTGGCTGGTTGGCGGAGGTCGCCATCGCGCGATTAACCTTTTCCTATTAAAGTGTAAATATTGTTAGCAATAAATTCGATGCGGGAGAAATCAAGGTTTGGAAATCGGGTATAAATGGTTGAATATTTTTCATTGAACGTTGCTTTGTTGCATTCGATCCATGCAAATGCGACTATGATTCATACAATGCAATTAATCTGGAGAAAAAAATCTGGAGAAGAAAATCTTTTTTTACGATTGTAATGAATAGGTTACACGAAATTTGAACAACGAGCTTACACAGTTTTATTTATAATTCATTATGGAAACTAGATTTATTTTCTATCGTTGAGAAAAGTTTTTTAGAGTTCAGAAAAATTATTAGAGATGACAAGATGGATTGTAATAGATACTTTTTGTTTTTAGATTTAAAGAAAGATAGTTACAAGATAAATCCACGATTTAGTTGAAACTAAAGATGGAGAGAAAAAAATAAAATACACGCAATGTCTAAACTTTTTCTACATCTCAACTGTGTCTCTTTATAATTAAAAATCCATGATATTCTTAACATAAATAATTTCAAATTCAATTTAATACAAATGATGATGAATTAAAATTTATGTTCAATTAAAAAATTCAATATTCATGATATTCTTAACATATAAAAATAATTTCAAGTTCAATTAAACAACAAATGATAAATTAAAATTTATCTTCAATTAAAAAATTCAATATTTTCTAAAAAAAAAAAAAAAAGAATCAAAAGCACTGGATATATTAAATTATAAATAATTCAATAATATAATACTGGGATCATTAATCGCAAAAAAATAACAATTTTCATAATTAAAAACAATCGATGTTTTTATTAACTTGAAATTCTGAACTGAAAGGATCTCGTCGACCGAGATCAAGGACGCAATCGCAGAAAACGGAATGATCGATTTTCGCGAATAAAAGGGGAAAAAAAAAAAAAAAAAAATATAGAAAAAAACCTTGGAACACGTTGGCCAAGTTAGGTCGATGTATATGCAAACCGGTCGTATTTCATGCGGCGATGTTGGCGCTTATGAGCGCCCCCTGCGGCTTTTATGCCGCGCGGCGTTTGAACAATGAAAACGGCTCTACTGAAATATTGTAATGGTGGTACGTGATGCATCGACGGGATCCCCTCTGTTCTCACGCGTAGAAGA